GAATGGTCAGACAGCTCTTATAGAACCCACTCATTCCTGCACCCCCACCCCAACATCCCCACAAACTCACTGCTGTCGAGTCATAGGCGTCCCATAGGGCAGAGTTGAAGCACCCTCTGAGTTTCTGAGGTTGTAAATCTTTCCAGGAACAGAAAAGCCTCATTTCCTTCAGAGCAGCTGGTTAGCAGCCCAACTTGTAATTCACCACACCAGCAAGACTCCTTCCAGGCCAGTGAGAGGCAATCATGGCCTGGACCCAGGAGGGAGCCATGGAGCAGGGAGCAGAGTTGGCATCTGCATGTTTTGAAGGTCCGACCAGTAAGATTTGCTGGCTGATTTGGATGAGAGGGAAAGAGGAGTAAAGTATGACCCCGTGACCTTGGGGTTTTTTGCCCAAGTGACTACATGGATGAAGTTACCTCTCTCTGAGATGGGGCAGGTTATAGGAACGGTTTGTGGCTAGTAGTAAGATCTGTTCGAGGCTGTAAATAGGAACTGCCTTATTAAGCTTCCAGAAGGACCCGTTGAGTAGGCATAGGCAGCAGGCACTAGACGTTCAGAAGAGAGATGAGGGCTGTTAACATGAAGTGGGATTTAGAACCATGACTTTGGATGAGGCTGCTAAGAAGTTCGAGCTAGAGAAAGGAACAGGTGCCCGCCCTGGGCCTGGGCCACTAAGTATTCAGAGATTGGGAGAATGAGAGGAAACCAGCAGAGGACAGTGAAGCAGGAGGAAAACCTAGAGTCGCTGCACAAGAAAGTGTTCAAGAAAGTGGTCCTCTTCCAGAAACAAACATTTCAGTCAGAGCACCCTATCCTGTTCCTTTCTAGAACACATACATGGGCTATCTGGATTACCGGAAGAAGTCCATCAAAGACCTTGGCATTAGCCCCAGCACCTGCTCTTTCAATCCTGGTGTGATCGTTGCCAACATGACGGAATGGAAGCACCAGCGCATCACCAAGCAACTGGAGAAATGGATGCAAAAAAATGTGGAGTAGGTGCAGACCTCCCAGACAGTTCTTCTAGGCCCGAGTAGATCCTTGTTCACATTCACTTTCTATGCCCAGTTCACAAGTGAGCTTCATATTTCACCTTCACATCTCAAGTCAGATTTCCCTCCAGAGAAAGCAAAGGGAGTGGTGGACGCATGCGGATGCTCAAGTCATACCAGTCAGAGGCATGAGGAGCCTCTCCCCGCCCAAGGGCTTTCCTCGTCCGTTTGAGTTCAATGATGTGACTTTACAGCTCATCCCAGAATCCCACATAACTTTTCCACTGCAAATCCTCCTTGACATTAGTTGGTTTTTGCATTTACAGAAAAACAGAAACAACCAACTGACTCCATGGCCCCTGAGTTGATTGTGACTCACAACGTCCCTATAGGACACAGTAGAATCATTCCCTAGAATGTCCAAGACTGTCAGTCTTTATGGAAGACAACTTCTCCATCTGTCTTCCTGGGAACAGCTAGTGGGTTCTAACACGGACCTTTTGCTTGCTTAGCACACCTCACCACCTGGGCATCTCCTTTCTACCGCGGACCTTTTGCTTGCTTAGCACACCTCAGCACCAGGGCATCTCCTTTCTACCGCGGACCTTTTGCTTGCTTAGCACACCTCACCACCTGGGCATCTCCTTTCTACCGCGGACCTTTTGCTTGCTTAGCACACCTCACCATCAGGGCATCTCCTTCTGGAGATGTGTATTCAGGGTTCTTTTGTAAAGTTAACTCTCTTTTTTTCATTTCACTTTTTAACTTGTAATTTTTCTTATAGGAGCTTTGGAACTGAGAAAAATACAAAGAATTTGAGCACAGCTCCTATGTGTATTTCCTGGCAGTCTTTTTTTGAAATCTGGAATTTTTAATACCATCATAGTCTTGAATACACAATGACATTATTCTGATTAATAATGTATCATCAGAATTTTATCTTCTATGTTTGGCATTAAAACACACACACATGAGTTTCAAGATGGAAAACTACTAACTCAGAGAATGTAAGTGAGGGATGTGGTGGTTCATGGTGTTAAGACTTCCAACTTTGCCTAGGTTTGACAGTTTTCAAAAAGGAGAAAAACAGGAGAGAAAAAAAAGAAATCTCAGGAAATACTTAGGGAAGGTGTGAGATACCAAGTGGGTATCTGAGACTGTGGGAACTCCCCGCCTCTTGTCACTCCTGTTTCTTTTCCTAGGGAAAACCTCTACAGCAGCTCCCTGGGTGGAGGGGTGGCCACCTCGCCACTGCTGATTGTGTTCCATGAGAAATACTCCGCCCTCAACCCTCTGTGGCACATTCGGCACCTGGGTAAGTGTGGCAGGAAAACACGTACAAAGTTATGCCACCAGGCTCCTCGATAGAGAAGCCCCTGGTGAACTCAGGCATCTTCAGATGAGATGGTCGCCGTGCTCACCTGGAGGGCTTCTTTCCGGGAGTTCATGAAAAGCCGCGTACTTGATATGGACCGCGTGGCGGATGCTTAGTGAACCCCAGCTGTTGTTAGGATAGGACTTTGGCTGTGATGATGGCTTCATTTGCCTTCACTACTTCTCCTTGGCGTTATCTAAAGGGAGGCAAAGCCATCTGAAGGACCATTATGATTTATGATGAATTTAGAGGGCTGGCATTCGAATGGATCTTTTGGAAAATAATTGTCTATGGACAGACTGCCCTGAGTCCCTTGCCAGTCCTTGATTTGCTGCAGGCTCATGGTATGGGTTGGAATCCCAAGTCTGCTGTGACCTGATCTTTTCCTAATTTGTAAACTGAAGCTAATAGAACCTTAGGACATTTTTACAAGGAATAAATCACCCAGTACATGTAAATTGAATAAGAGTCAAGAGTCTGACACACAATATATGCTCACCTTCATCCAAAGAGGTGGCCACACACCCTGACCCCAAACCACTGGGCCAACCCTATATGAAACTTAGAGAGGTTTCCATCTCCAAAAAAGAAATGTGCACATATTTCATTATGCACTACCCAGAATTCATTATTTTACTTTTGTAGCAACATATATAACAAAGACCATAAATTCTGGTCTGCCACTGAACTAAGCCCTGTGGTTCAATTTTCAGCCAAACAATAGGCAAGTCAGTAGAGGAAACACTTACACTAGTGAGGTCCATACACCTTAGAATCATCAATTGTCTGAGACCAAAGGAACAGCAGGTCTCTACCCAAGGACAAAGTTCAGAAGCGTTGTTAGGGATGGAGGAATGGAGACAGGAAACCCAGGGAGAAAGTGAAATAAGTGTATTGAAGGGACCACAGTCAATAAGATGAACCAACCTATGTATGCACTGCCCAATATAAAGCTGGCGGTCCACTCGGTACACCGTCACCCAGTTCACAGTAACAAAGAATTTGCCTTTAATGGTCATAACTATAAATCCTGTCATTTCAATCCAGATCTCACTGCCAACGGAGTTCTCTTAAGACTTGAGTTTTGAGGACTCTTTGGGGATTGGTGACAGTGATTAGGACTTGGACTCGCCAAGTGCCCAGGACATTGCAAGAAATGGACTGGGTTCTGATAATAAAGATGAATACTGTTTCCAAGTCTCATACCCTACAAGGACAAGTTATATGCCGTCCTGTTATGAGTTGCTGTCAAATAGATTCCAACTTAGGGTTACCTCCGTGTACAGAGCCCAGCTGTGCTCCGTCAAGTTTCAAATGCATTTTGCAAGGCCTGCCTTCTGCAGTGGCACTAGGGCAGTGCCAGCTAGCAGCCAGACGCTTAACTGCATCATCCAGGGACCCCAGTCTGTCCTTTACTCGCCTTACAAGAAAGGATGGAATGAACTGTGCAAGCTGAATCCTGGGGTCCTTTTAATGGTCCTGTGTCACCTTACTTCACTGTTTTCCTGAGTGCGCGCACACAAGCGTGATCCAGGGAAGTTAAGGATACCGACCGGTGTCCATCTGATTCGCTTTGTGATAATACTGGGTTCACTGTTAGGGCAAATACCATTTCCATCAGACAAGTGAACAGAGAAACCCCTCAAAGCAGACTGTCTGTAACAAAGGCTGTGTCGGAACAGCTACACAGAGTGTGGATCAATAGGGTGAGCGCATTTATGGTCTTGGAACAGAGACTCAGAACTGCATGTTACGAAACAACTGACTTATTGGCAACTAAGAAGGGACAGAATATTCCCAGGGAAATAAGTCATTTTGCTTTGTGGATCAGAGCCTTATGTTTGGGCTGAGAAGTTTTAGGATCAGTGTTGATTATGCAAATCAAATCTCCATAGAAATCATTTGAACAATGATTTATTAGAGTCTTAAAGCAGAAGGTAACCCAACACAAAGGAGTGATAAGTTCAGCTGTAAGGGGCTGTAGCGGCACAATGGGTAGGGGCTTGGCTGCCAACTAGAAGTCTCTTTGAACCCCCCAGCTGCTCACTGGGAGACAGATATGGCAGTCTACTTCCGTAGATGGCAGCCGTGGAAACCCTGGACGACAGTCCCACTTTGCCCTATAGGCTCCCTGAGTCAGCGTCAAGGCCATGAAAAATGGCTGACTTAATGGGTTGTTTGGGTCCAAAAGGGTAGGCTTACAATTGTAAAAATTTATGAAATATATTTACCTAAAAAGCAATTTTATTTCCAAAATGCCAAGTCCCTCTGAAGCAGTTACTACCAACCCCTCAGTCAGGAAGCTGAGGATGATGGCCTGATGGGTAGACTTCACCGCTAGCCTTTTTCCAAATGGGCATTTCCTTCTGTAGACTCTTTGGGAGTTGATGTAAGTAATATCTAGTTCCTGCCTTCATGGCTAGTTTATGAACCATGTAAGACAGGTGTGTGTGCGTGCATGCATGCGTGCGTGTGTGTTATATTATCCAGTAAGCCTGAGTAACATAACCCTGACTTGGCACTCCATCTTTACTCAATGGACTTTTAATTGTTAAAACAGAGACCAGGGGCTTTCAAAAGTTCATGAAAAAGTGGAATTAAAGATAAATGAAAATTCCCAGGAGCTCTTTGAAGCCCCATCATAATCAAATTTCCTTTCAGGGAAGGACATTTAAAAAAATCATTTATTGGGGGCTCTTACAGCTCTTATCATAATCCACACATACATCCATTGTGTCAAGTACATTTGTATGTAAGTTGCCATCATTTTAAAAACATTTTCTTTCCACTTGAGCCCTTGGTATCAGCTTCTCATTTCCCCTCCTCCCCCACCCTCCCTCCTTCATGAACCCTTGATCATTTATAAATTGTTTTTTTTATGTCTTACACTGTCCGCTGTCTCCCTTCACAAACTTTTCTGTTGTGTATCCTCCTGGGAGGGGTTTATATGTAGATCTTTGTGACTGGTTCTCCCTTTCTCCAATCCCATCCCCCTCCCCACAGCCGTCCCCTTTCCCTCCTGGTATGGCTACTCATTATTGGTTCTGAGGGGGTTTATCTGTCCTGGATTCCCTGTGTTTCAGGCTCTTATCTGTGCCAGTGTACATTCTCTGGTCTAGCCTGATTTGTAAAGTAGAATTGAGGTCATGATAGTGGCGGGGGGAGGAAGCATTAAAGGACTAGAGGAAAGTTGTATGTTTCATTGGTGCTATACTGCACCCTGACTGGCTCATCTCTTCCTTGTGACCCTTCAGTAAAGGGATGCAGAGTTGTGTACAGATGGGCTTTGGGTCTCTATTCCACACTCCCCCTCGTTCACATCCATAGGATTTTTTGTTCTGAGTCTTTGATACCTGATCCCATCCCATCAATCACATAGGTATGCTTCTTCCATGTGGCTTTGTTGCTTCTCAGCTACATGGTCACTTGTTTACCTTCAATCTGTTAAGATCCCAGACGCTAACTCTTTTAATAGCCGGGCACCATCAGCTTTCTTCACATTTGCTTATGCATCCACTTTTGTCTTCAGCGATCATGTAGGTAAGGTGAGCATCACAGACTGCTGGGTTATTAGAACAAAGTCTTGTGTTGGGGGAGTACTCAAGTAGAGGCCCAATGTCCTTCTGCTACCTTAATACTAAACCTATAAATACATGTACATAGTTTTATTTCCCTATCGTTATATATAAACATTTACATATGTACATGCCTGTATTTAGACCTCTATAAATGTCCTTTGTCTCCTAGTTCTTTCTTCTTATTTCCTTCTACTTAACCTCTTGTCTGTCATGCTCTGCCTTCATTCAGGTGTAATTCCTCTCAGCTACATTGCCCTTGATTAAGCTCCCCACCAGACATCCTACACCTTCCTTGCCATCGATCTTAAAATCATAGGATACTAGGGGGGAAACTACATACTTAATATCTTACTACACTTCTGGGAGCATATTCTACTAATCTTCTGAGTGATGGTAGCAATATTCGGGCAAATGTATAATTCCTTAGAGATTCGTTCGGAGGTAATTCTGTGGGGAAACCTAATAAAAAAGCCTATCTTACTCTCAGCACATTTTTCATATGGTAGAAACACCTTTCACAGGGTCACACATTAGGAGATAACCTCCAGAGGAGCAGGAATACCGAGTTTCTTGGTGGAGGGATAGAGATATGAGTCTTTGGGTTCAGTCTGCAGTACTGATCGCACGTTACCCGCCTCCCCCACCACCACCCATCTGCCACTTGGTCGTACTGCAGTGGCTTGAATGTTGCTGAGATGGTGGAAGCTATGCCACTAGTAACTCAAATACCAGCAGGGTCACCCATGGAGAATGCTTTTCAGCTGAGCTTCCAGACTAAGAACGGCTATGAAGAAGGAACAGGTTGACAACACCTGAGGGGTTAACCACAGGAAACCTAATGAAGAGCAGTAGAACACTGTCTGATATAGTGCCAGACGAGTCCCTTCAACTCAGAATATGACCGAGAAGAGCTGCCCGCTCCAAAGAGTGAACCTTCATGACGTGGATGGAGTAAAGCTTTCAGGACTTTCATTTGCTGAGGGGCCACCACTCAAAACGAGAAGAAACAGCTGCAAACATCTATTAACAATCAGAATATGGAAAATTGGAAGTCATCTAAAATGTGATGGGATGCATTAAAGACCAATATCCTAGGCATTAGTGAGCTGAAATGGACTGGCATTTCCATTTTGAGTCAGAGTGTCATTATGGTTTATTATGCAAGGGTTCATCGTGTTCACCCTCAAAATGAACATTTCAGGATCTGTCTTGAAGCACACAGCTCTGACAGGATAGCTATATGCCTACAAAGAAGTTTGGTTAATACAACTATTATTCAAATTTATATGCCGACCACTAAAGCTAGTTTAGACATTGAAAAATTATTCCAACTCATTCCATCTGAACTTAATCAAGCATGTAATCAAGATGGATTGGTAATTATTGGCAATTAGAATGTGAAAGTTTGAAATGGAAAAGAAGGATCAGTTGTTGGAACATAGCCTTGGCGATAGAAATGAAGTTGTAGATCACATGACAAAACTGCAAGACCAAGAACTGACTTCTTCATTGAAAATAACTTTTATCCAACAATATAAATGGTGACTATACATGCTGACTTTGTCGAATGAAATACAGGAATCGAGTTGACTACCTCTGTGGAAACAGGCAACAGATGACCCAAGACAACATCCTCCGCCAAAATGAGATCAAGGACTAACCGTGGAGCAGCCAACTAGTCGTACACAAGTTCAGGGTGCAGCTGGAGAAAAGTAAAACAAGTTCACACGTGCCGAAGCATGACTTTGAGTATGTTGTATCTGGATTTAGAAAACATCTCAAGAACAGATTGAACACTAATGACAGAAGACATGACAAGTTTAGTATGAAATCAAGATTGTGCATAGAGAAAGCACAAAGTCATTGGAAGGATAGGAAGTTTAGGAAATTTTAAAAAAAGAAAAAAAGTGCTTGAGTAAGAGCTAAAGTGCTCACCACAGGTTGGTGGTTGAAACAACTGCTGCTCTGTGGGAGAGAGATGAGGCTTTCTGCCCTGTGAAGATTCACAGCACTGTGACACAGGAGCTGTGTCACACCCTATAGAGGCTCACTATAGAGCTCAATGGCAATAGGTATGTGTTTGGGGATGAGCAAACTACCGAGTGATGTACAAAGCATCCAGAAAAGATACACAGAATCACTGTACCAACAAGAAGTGGTCAGTATTCAACCATTTCAAGAGGTAGTACATGATCAAGAACTGACAATACTGAAGGAAGAAGTCTAGGCTGCACTGAAGCCTGTTTAGTGAAAACAAGCCTCCAGGAGTTGATGAAATAACTGAAAAGTTTCAACAAGCGGATGCCGCACTGGAAGCGCTCAGTCTATGTGAAGAAATCTGGCCAACCTACTGGAGGAGCTCTGTATTTGTTCCCATTACAAAAATATCCAACAGAATCTGGAAACGAGTAAACAAGACCATTATCACATGCGGTTAAAATTTTACTGAAGATAATTCACAAACGGTGGCAGTACATTAACAGGGAGCTACCAGAAATTCAAGCCACACTCAGAAGAGGACGTGCAATAGGGATTTCTCATGACTGACATCAGATAGATCTTGGCTGAAAGCAGAGAAGACCCCAAAAAAAGCTTGCTACATTTATGACTGTGCAAAGGCATTTGATGGTACATGCTAACAAAGCATGGGTAACATTGTGGAGAATGGGAATTCCCGAACACTTTGTGTTCACGTGGAACCTGCACATAGGGCAAGAAGCAGTTCAAACAGAACAAGGTAGCATTGCAACATTTAAAATCAGGAAAGGTGTGTCACGGTTCTGTCCTTTCGCCAGTCAATCCATAGTCTGGCAAACAGCAGGTAATCTGAGGAGCTGGATTCCTGTGTCACAGGAAGGTGCATTCAGAGCCTGTGATATGCAGCTGACACCAACTTTGCTTGCTGAAAGCCAAGAAGACGTGAATCACTTGCTAAAGATAACCCAAGACTACAGCCTTCAATACAGATTGCAACTCAATGTAAAGAAAACTAAAATCCTCACAACTGGACCAACAGACAACATCATGACCAATGGAGAAAAGACGGGTTGTCAAGATTTCATTTTACATGTATCACAGTCAATGCTCACAGCAGCTGTCAGGAAATCAAATGACCTGTTAAAGAGCAAAGATGCCACTCTGAGGACTAATGCCCCCCTTACAGGGCCACGGTACTCTCCAATGCTTCACATGCATGTGAAAGCTAGACGGTAAATAAGGAAAATCAGATGAATCAATGCATCTGAACTATGGGGTGGGGAAGACTTGAAAAGTCCCAGAGTGCCAGAAGGAAGAACATGTCTGTGTTGGAAGAAGTACAGTCAGAATGCTCCTCAGAAGCAAGGATGGCAAGACCTACTCTCCCCTTCTTTGGACATGTTATCAAAAGACCAAACCCTGCAAAATTGCTCCTGTGGGTTTCAGACTCTAAAAATGTTTATGGGAGTAGATAGCCTCGAAATTTTTCTGAAGGCCAGGTGGTGGTTTGGAATTGTTGACCTTGAAGTTAGTAACCCAATGCATAACCAGGTCTCCTGAATGGGTAATTAATTAGTAGAGACAAACAAGCAACCTCCCCACCAACCAAATCCATTAATATTCCCAGGTATAGGGCCAAACAACTATACTTACAACAGTATGATCAGCTTTAAATGTGATGTCCTGGCATGATAAAGAACCGGCTCAGTCACCATGGGTGGAGGAGGAAGAGTTTTTACTTAGGGGCATTGAGTTTCTGTGAATGGTGGTAGAATGATTTAGAAAAGGATTATCACTGATGTTTGTACAACACAAAGGGCATAACCAATGGCACTGAATTATACATGTAAAGTTGTGGAATCGGAAAATGTTTTGTTGTGTATATTTTGCCAGATTTAAAAAAATTACATGATTAACAATGAGTACAAGAAGGAAATGTTCTAGAAGTTATTGTGGTGAGGATTGCACAACTCTCCTTGATATGATTGAATTATTAAATTGTCTAACATGTGGATGAAGTGCCAATCAAACTATTACAAAAAAAATAAAGAGCGAGAGAGACCAAGCCCTGAAAAAGGACATGCTGCTTGGTGGAGGTTGAGCGGCAACAAGGACAACTCTCAGGGAGAAGGATCGGGTTGACCGTTGCAGCGACAGAGGAGAACACTGCACTTGAGAGGCTGGCACAGAACTGGGCAGTGTTTCATTCTGTTGTACATTGGGGTCACTGAGCGGAAATCACCTTGATGGCACTGAACAGCATCCCCACAGGTGAAGCACACCCCCCCTTCAACCCAGCACTTCCCTCTGTAAGATTTCACCCTACAGCTATTATTTGGACACATGTAAAAACTATTTATTGTGGATGTATGGATTGATATAAGAGCTGTTTAAGTGCCCCCAATAATTTTTTATTTTTAAAAATTAAAAAATATATTTATTTAAATAAATAAAAACTATTCATTATACTGTGTATTTATATTTAGAGAGGAATAATCAAAACATCTATCAGAATAATCATATAACCATTCAATGTCATCATTAAAATAGTTTAATAAATCCACAGTGCTGCTGTGGAAGGTTCATAAGGTGATCATTTTAAATGGCAATGCAGCAGAAATTCTATAGTGTATGCTATTTTGTCTCCTATTGCTTATAAAGATGTAGCTAGGTCTATGTAAACACATCTACAGAGAACCTGCATGGGAAAATCCCTGAAAAGTTTTAGCGGCAGTCAAACGTTTTGGAGATTTGAGGCGAGTGGGAAAAGATTTCATTTCATAGCCTTCTGATATACTAAAAATTATTCTTACAGGACTTGGGACTCAGTTCTTAAGCCGAAACTCTTATTCTCTAACAAGCCCATTCCTTTCCTTTCAATGTGCTTGAAGGCTGGAGTCCAGATGCCAGATACTCAGAGCACTTTCTGCAGGCAGCGAAATTACTTCACTGGAACGGAAGGTATAAACCCTGGGACTTCCCAAGTGTTCACACTGACTTCTGGGAAAGCTGGTTTGTTCCTGATCCTGCAGGGGTATTTAAACTCCATCGCCACAATAGCTGAACTTGACATTTCAAAAGCTTTCTGTATAAAAATGTGGGACTGACCAGTTGTGCCCATTTGAACATTATACTTCTGAACACAACTTTGATACATAGAGCCCATTTTAGGAAACCAAGAGAAAAAAAACACTGTATACAAATTGTAACAATACAATCTTACAGGAAAACCAAGTTAACATATTAAGGAGATAAATTATAGAAAACAAGAACTCCTATAAACTCATGTGTAGGCAGATAAATGGATACAACTCACTTGGGAGCAATAGGCCATGTAACCCCACGTTTTCAGTATTTTCTGTATCAAAATGTGTAATTGCCTATGTGTACCCACGATGGCACGCTCCTTTATCAGCAGTACTTGGTGCATGCTAGAAAATAACAATAAAGAAACTATTTTGTGTAAAGTATACAGGCATCGGTTTATTTAGGTAAATTGAAGTGGTTCAACGTTATGGAGATAAAGATTACGTGAATGCAATAAATCGTTGGACAGAAATACTTGAATCTATTAGCAATCAGTTGGCTTAACCCTGAAGGGCAATTAGATTCACAAAATTAAAAACTTTTCTAATGAAATATCTAAATGTTTTTATTTTTATATGCCAGTAGTTTTTAAAATGGGTGCCAGTATGTTTCATAGAACGATTGCATTTAAAACGTTACTGTTGGGGGTGGGGGGTGGAAAGAAGAGCCACGGATCTTTTTTCCTTTGCTTCATATTTTTAAGATGTATTACTGTAATACACATTCCCAGCCCAAAGTAGATCGATCTCCAGTTTAAAAGGAAAAGAAAAAGCCTGCAACTTCAGGATATGCATTCTTAATATTCTTTATTGTAAAAACCATCAGACTTTAAAATGAATTGAAAAACCTTTTCCCTATTATTGAATGACAAAGTCTCACGCCGTCATGTACATGATCAAGCCAACATTTACTATGCATTCATGTTGTTCGTGAAAATCTTCAATTCCACTCTCTGGAGAATGCCTGTCATAATTAAACGGGTATTTCATCCACTCAAATGAAAAGAGAGAAATCAAATCTATCGGAAAGCAACAATAATTGTACACCAAAGCAAAACCTAGTTACATGGTTTACAGAATCCCATGAAAAAAGAGTTCAGTTGCTCCTAATCCCTGACGCAAGGCACTTCCGAGCACCCGCACAGAAGGCCCATGTAAACAGCAGTACAGTACATCATTTAAATCACGCGAGGACTGAACTGCCTTGACCTAGATGCAGAGAGAGCAAGTTCTACCACAGCCACAGCTAGAAGACATGTTTAGATTCACCACAAGAATTTGCTTCTCTTATTATAAAGAGAACAGGGCCTTTCCTCTGTGCGTGTGTGGCCCAGGGGTGGGGGAAGCCTCAAAAACATTTCATATTGAAAACTACAGCATGCTCCCTGCGTCAGTCTGACACCGGCACATTCAGGCTGATGGGGAGTACGTGAAAGCACACTGCATCTTCAGAGCCACAGACCCAGCCGCTGCGGACAAGCTTGTAGCACCAAGGAGAGCTGTACAGGGCACTCACACACAAGCCCCCGTCATGGACCCTTCCCGTGTGGCACACGGAGCCCACAGGACCCAACAGCAATGAGAACAAAGTTTCTTAAATTACTGGTTATCAAGAAAAAATTTATATTTATGTACATTTCACACTCATAAAAAGCACCAGTTTATATAAGATCATCAAACCCTTCCAGCATTGTCTCGATCAGCCTGCCTTACCACTTCACGTCACAGCCACAAAACCAGGGAGGGAAAGATGAGAAGAGGACAGATGTGGAGTGAGAAGGTCGGTTCCTCTGCTTTCAAGTTTAGGTCTCAAGTAGAGCAATGGAGTGGCAAAATGTACAAGGTCTACTGCACCCTCTGGGACGTACCATCTCCGAAGAATCATTGCTGCCAAGCAGAGGCTTGACACAGACAGGGTGAACGCCAAAGCCAGGGCACCATGCCTCGCCAGGTAAGGTCGGTTGAGCTTTGCAGCAGCAAGGCCAAACTCCACCTCCCCAGAACAAGCCAGCCTCAGATGCTCGCCACCGGTCAGACAGAGGTCTGAGTGTATGATGCAGAGAACCCCCACACCTCTAGAAACTGCCCAGAGAGCCGCCGCGGAGGGTTGGCTCCACCTGCAAAAGCCTCCTCCCCAGTGATCACTCATCAGCATGCCCTTCTCGGGCATAAAAGGGATAAGGGTGTATTCTAGTTTTAGCCACAGTGAGTTAAAATTTAACTATAAATATTCAGACTGTTGTGTTTAAATATTACAGATTAAAAGTAGCTCTCCAAAGAAAATCAGTATCTTCATAACTGAACAGTTTATAAAACACTGGAATGATGGTTAATTCAAATACAAAAACTCATATACAAAAAATCCCCATGTCTTTCTTCCAAACTACCCAATTCACACAGTTGAGTCTATTACACAACTGCTGCAGACTACGACTAGACCACTACACAGAGCACTGAGAAAACACTTCCGTGTCTTGACCACTGCATTAAAACTGCAGCATTTCAGCAGCATTGAGAAACGCGATCCTTAGGCCTGGTTTCCTTCTTCCGGGGCTTGCGTTTCACAGGGGCTATTAAAGGAGGGGACCTGGTCTGTAAATGACTGGGTCATCCACTGCCCGTTTGGATTGTCACTCAGCGCTGATTCTCCAGGTAATTCTGCACCCTCGGCTGCTGGAGATGGGGGTGAAGAATGTTGAGAAGAAGATGGTTAGTCTATTGGTTAGTCTATTCTGTTGAACCATTTCAAATGATTAAGATTATTTAAGTTTGCCATTCTGTTTCCAGATACTTGCGCCCCCTCCCCAACCCCCCAAAAGTGAACCAAACCTTACTACCATCAAGCTGATGCCAACTCATAGCAACCCTATAGGACAGGGTAGAACTGCCCCAGTGGGTTCCCGAGACTAACTCCTTAAGGGAGTAAGAAGCCTCATCTTTGTCAGATAGAGTGCTTCTAAATCCCTCACCTGTGCTTCTGGAAGGAAACTGAGGCTGACTCCGTGAGTGAAAAAAAATGAACTAAAAACGTCAGATTTCCCTCTTTGGTCTCTAGGGTTTTTCTCTCACCATTCTCACTCCTTGGCACTTTCCCTTGACTGTTCCCAGCCCACACCCATGTCCTGACCCGAGCAGGCAAGTGACGGGAGGGGACGCAGGAAGGAGACCTACTGATCCCGTTGGAAGAGCAGCTCCCCGGTTCACGATGGCAGACATTCTCGCCGTAAGCACCACCGTACGCTGCTTCATAGCCCGGGTCGTACTTCTCTTCCTTCACAGCCATCTTCTTTGCATCCTCTGTAAGGAGCGGAGAAAAGAGTGGAAACTGAGCCTGTGCACTACGCTGGAACACCGCTCGGTCCAGACATTATGAGAAACAATTCTTCCTGAATGCTCAGACACATAACAGATGTATGTCTCTCAAGTAAACCCCAGATGAAATACAGCTCTGGATACTCAGGTGTAGAATCGTAGTTAACGTATACCGAGTCCTCTCACACAAGTTACGAAACACCTATTGCATTTCATTTCAGGTGGGCTGCTGGGTCTCTTAGAGCCCGGTGTCTGTCAAGTCTCCGGAGCCGAGGGCAGCAGACCTTGCTCAGAGGAGATATAATCTCCTATCAAAGCCCACTGGCTACAGAAGTTCCTTTCTTTCCCTCCCAGTGTACTTTCTGACTGTACATTCCAGTGGGCCTCAGGAAGCTTGTAAAAAACCTCATGATCCTTTAATTCCACGTTTCCCTCAACTCTGTGAAGGCCCCTCACACACATGTGCAGGTTTTCGTTTTCTGTTCATAAATCAGTATTTATGTCCACTCCCAAATGCAAACTCACTGCCTACTCCCTCACAGCGAAACCTCACTGACAAGCGGGTCACCAGGACCATGGTAACATACCTTGGGCGAGCTGTAAGTCAAACGTGTATTGCACCTCCTGAATGTCTGTGTTTCGCACCACGCCCTTCAGCTGGTCCCGCAGGTCCTTCAGTTTGATGTAGTAATGCACTTTGTCTTGGGCGCGAGGAAACTGAGCGCACCGGGCGCTGGACGACGGCATGACGTAGCATAGCTAGAACCAAGACACAGCCCAGTTACAGAGCCTGCGAAGCCAGGTGAAGGCCACTCATGGCCGAGATGAGAAAACTTGTCTTAAAGTCGGGTTCTTCAGTTGTTACTTATCGCATCATTGTATGCACAGTCAGTAAGAGCATAGTGTTTATGTTCAGATTTGTAATACGTGTTACAAAGTGAATCAATCAGAACCATGATGAAGCTTTCCTCCCCTCAGCATACATCACTCAGTTACCAATATTTTCTTTTTAATAGCAAATACGTGGCTCATCATTTTAAAGGCTCAAAGGGTATACTAGGCATACAATACAAAGTCGTGCCCCAAATCCGTCCCAAGCCAGCGAGTTGCCTTTCTTAAGACTATTAAGGTACAAACAAACAAATTTCTCAATAACAGGCTCTCAACCCTCCTAATACCCCAATAGCAAGAGGCCCCTCGCCCCTGTTTTTCAATCTCATTGCTTTTCTCTCTCAACAGTGTCACTCGAGCAGGGCTCTGAATCAAAACAAAAGCGATCCTCTTCAGAACTCTGTACTGCTTTCCCAGTTTAGGAGGTTCCGGTCTCTGCTATTAGAAGTCCACAGTGTACAACACTGTCTACGACTCATCTCAAACGTGTGAGTGTATCTGTTGGGTAAACTCCTAGAAGCGGAATGACTACAGAGGAAAACATCTGCATCGACCATTTTGATTGTTCATGACACACTGCCCTTCATAGGATTTACACCAATTTCTATCTCCACCTATGATAAAGGAGCCCCCACCCCCACAGTGTTCATCTATCAATTATGCAGTGAGGTCACTAATGGGTTATTAGCAACAATTTTTAAATTAGCTTCCCCTACATCTGTGACAGAGGGAAAAAGCTATTTTGTTTTGGTCGTGCGATGATTCGAAAATCCCCATTTTCAAGACAGGTAGGTTCAATAATAGCATATTTCCCCCATTTAAAATATTATTCCCCTTTATAAATATATCGGATACCCAAAATTGGAGGAGATAAAGGCATGAAGTGGTTGGCTTACAAACTTTCATAGGTGGGGAAAAAAATTCACAGGATTATAGGGTTAAGGTATAGGTATTACTTAATTGCAATTGTGAAGCTACAGATTTATGTACAGGTGCCAGGTTGGCAGGGGGTGGATTGAGTTAGTTTATTGTGCCAACCTGGCTGATAAACACATGTGGGATTAATTGAAGGGCAGAGGGATAAATGGCTCAGTGAGCCTCACCTTTCTAGTTCTCGGATCTCTTGCTTTGTGATGGTCAGACCAGGGTACAGCTGCCTTAGCAGTTCCCTGCTTCAGCTTGCAAGGCTGACTTCCTGCAAGACACCCCCAAGAAGAAGCCACATGGACCTACCCCGATGCAGCCCTGGGTGCTGAAGCAGCCATGTGGAGACCCCTGCCAGCACTGAAATGTTTACATGTTCACTGACTTGGCTTTCCTCCTGCAGTCGGCATCATTGCGTCTGCTTTGTGAGATGGAGGAGGACTTTTTGGACTGGTGTTGGGCATATGGATTAATGGGTGAATATTGGACTTGTGGGCTTGGGCAGCACTGGGTTGGGATGTTTTCTTGATGCATAGTTAACCTTTATATAAAACTCTTTTATATGAGTTTCTGTGGATTTGTTTCTCTATAGTACCCAGACTACTACAATAAGTGATCCAGTAACTTTTAAAAGTAGCTTTTGTTTCAAAGTTGAATCATTAACATAATCTATTGATTCTTCATAATTCATACAGAACACATTTAAAGAGATAAAATGCACCCTTTATTATAAGTTTATTATCATGGCAGGATTCAAGTTTACTGATTCTTATACTACTCTGATCACAAATCCCCAAGAGATATGGCCTGGCAATACTGGACAAGCCCACCATAGGCTACAGGGAGTGATGTACATATAGCTAGCTATAGGGCTACCTAAGTAGATAACTAACTCACTGCCATTGAGTTGATTCTGATTCACAGCGACCTAACAGGGCAGGGCATAACTGTCCCTGTGGGTTTCTGAGACCGTAACTCTTTATGGGAGTAGAAGGATGATAGTCTTTCTCCCAGGAGGAGCTGGTGGTTTCAAACTGCTGACCTTGCAGTTAGCAGTCCAATATGTCACCAGGGCTCCTGGAGCAGGTAGACAAAGAGCAGCCTTAATTCCCAGCAAGACCAATGCTACAACCTATTTTACCTGTAGTTGCAGAAACTTTATTCTGAGGTCTCCACAACTCTGGTGGCATGTAACAGGGGTGGGCACTGCCTGACTCGTAGTTTCAGAGGCCACATAAAATGACAGAAGCAGCAAAATCGGAAGCAAATGTCTGCCGAAGAGGGGCAGGAAGGCCAGGTGTGAAACACACTGTTGTTTCATGCTGCTTTTATGTGCAAACAACAGGCCAACGTGCCTGGACACCTGCCCCCGAAGAGGACTGTATAAATGGCTATTTTCAAATGGAGTTGGGATACAATAGCTACATCGGGGGCAAGTCATAATTTAGTAACCAGGATTGTGTCTATAGTTACATAATAGAGTAAGGGCTTGAATCTGACAAACAGATACCACTACATGTTTTGAAGTGTATGTGAGTCGAAAGAATCTCAATATTGCAGCCAATTACATCAGTAAGCTATTTGGCTAACAAAATGATTCTGTTTCTAATAAAACATGAATAGTTGAATTCCTCTAAAAATGTTCGTTCAAGTTGATATATTATTAAAGAAAACAGAGTGGGTTTTTCTTTCTTTTTAAAAATATAGCACAAATTACAATGGGTAGGACAAACAAAAAAGGAAAAAGAGCTAGAAAATAGTTTTTCTTTCGCAGATTTACAAATGCACTAAAGACTTACTGTTTCGGTGTCTGGGATCTTATGAGGCTGTAGTCCGAATTCTAAGTTCTTAACCTTCACTCCAAACACTTCTTTACTAAAGATTTCATAGATACCTACAACGAAGTACAAACATCATTACGTTGCCCACAATGCCAGCCAAGAGAATAGCGCAAAATTTGAAGTAAATCTTACATTTTCCATTAAACACCGCTATTCGTGGCTGATATTTCTGTAATTTCTGCACTAGAATACGTCCGCCTTCACGAAATTCTTTACTAAAATTGAATTGAAGAGTCATCAACATACATAGACAACAAGGTTTGTAATATGCTGAGTTCGGGCAGCTCACTATACAAAGCTCAGATCACCTGTAGGTCCAACTTCTCTTCCACTAGACACCTGATGGGGGGCAGGGGGTAGTTCCCCAGAAGCCCTGAGGCACCGGCATGCCTCGCCCAGTTCCAGCTTTCACAGAGATGCTGTTCCAGTTACCTGGAAAGATCCTTGCTGCCCGGAGTCGTCCTCTCCACCATGTTGGTGAATCCAATCCCGTACTTCCCAGGCAGGGTGTGGTCGTCCATGTGATTGAGCTGCACCTCGCTCAGCCCGGACATGAACAGACACTTCCCTGTCAACGAGGGGCGCGAGCTGATTTCTGGCCACAACCAGGGGATTTCCACCCCCCTCAACATTCTAGTCTTGAAATTTAAAATAAGTGTTCTTAAAAATAAAGTTTTAAGAATGAAAAAAATAAAATGTTTCAGACATTGTTCGTTTCAGACATTTTAAAACAGGTAGACTGAAAACATTATCGAGCAATGAATACCTGATTCGGTTTGGTTTTAGATTTTGGAAACTTGTTGTTCACATTTTGGTCTTAAGCGAGACCCTTTTAAAACTCAGTTTTGAGAATGTAAACCGCAAAAGGGTCCTAAGATCAGATCCACCCAGCCCTGCCGAGGTTTTCTGGGCCGTCTTCAGTGCAGTGACAATGGGGGCGTTTGTCTCACGTCCCACGAATGAGGCTACAATGTTTGGATGCGCTGCGTTCCCTCTAAAGTGTGACTCAGTTCCATCGAAGAGGAAAGCTATGGGTTAAGCAATGGACAGGTAGCCACTAGGTCGGTAGTTCAGATTCCCCGGCTGCTCCTCAAGAGAAAGCTGAGGCTGTCAGCTCCCGTCAAGACTGACAGTCTTGGGGACTCACTGAGTCCGAATCAACTCAATGGCGGCGGTTGGTTGGTTTCAGGTACTATCGTAAACCCTCTGCAGTGAAGTCCCTGGATTACAAAAGTCTTGACGTGGGGACAACTCCTACTTGTCCTTTAGTGCTACGTAAATTTGCCTTCACTTTGAAATAACTGGATCAACTTCCATGCAACAAACTCATCACTTTCCCTTGCTGTAGGGCACAACGTTCAAGTCACAGAAAAGGCGCCCAGTCTTTTCTTGCACTATACTGAGGCTATACGCAGGCCGAGTGACCTACAAAGTCAACTTAGAGACACAGAGGAATGGGTCTCATTCATAAAGCAGGGACTTCTACACATGGATTATCTTATTTCACTATCCCAACTATCTATCTGAGATACAGAGTACTTTGCACAACCCCAAAGCCAAACTCGCCATTGTGACTCATAGTGACCCTCTAGGTCACAGCGGTTCTCAACCTGTGGGTCACGACCCCTTCACAGAGGTCGCCCGATTCATCACAGTAGCAAAATGACAGCGATGAAGTAGCAACGAAAATAATTTTATGGCTGGGGGGTCACCACAACATAAGGAACTGTATGAAAGGGTTGCGGCATTAGGAAGGTTGAGAACCACTGCTATGGGACCAGGGTAGAACTGCCCCTGCGGGTTTTCTGAGACTGTAACTCTTTACAGGAATAGAAAGCCTCTTCTTTCTCCCCAGGAGAAGCTGGTGGTTTCAAACTGTGACCTTGTGGTTAATCAAGGTAAATACACACCAGAGAGCATGCAGGCAGTCAGGGTAGGAAACGGAAACTGTTCATTTTCCTTTCTAATTAAGTGGCGACAGCACCACCTTCCCCTTCATACCTACCTCAAAGACACAGCCGCCAGTAGAGAGTACACTCACATGCCTTGAGAGTGGAAAAACAAGCTCGTTTCCCTACTTAGTTCTAAAAATGCCTACGATCACTTGCCTTAAGGATTTTAAATGCTCCTCTGAGTTAGCCAACTAATAGTTCCTGAGGGCCTATCACACAGGACAATTCTACAAGGGGCTCAAAAGGTTCATGAGACAGTTCCATTATCTTCCCCTCCCATTCTCCCATGAACGCTGTGAACCCCCTCACGGTTACACGGGCTTCACCACTACTTTCTGCTGGTGTCGGCACCGAGTATGTCCAGCCACGGCACTGGTCACTACCACACCTGGAGGCTCTGAGGAAATGAGGCCGGCACAGATTGGGAAAGAGCCGTTATCTGCCACACGGATGTACTACTGTTATCATGTCTATAGATACCAGCTTTAAAAAGCCGTCAAAAGTACATAGCATAACTCACTGAACACAATTTGAACAGAAATAATTTCTTTTTGTACCTCTCCACTCTTCCCCCAAAATGTTGACAGCAATAAAGCATTTCAAACACTTGATTCTGTACACACACAGAGAAAGAGATAGTGCTTAAAGAGAGAGACTTATTTACATTTACACATTAACACAATCACTTTCTTCTTAAATATAACTTGGGCTAAACAATACTAACACAACCATGAACAAAGATATCTGGTGGGAAAAAACCCCCAACTCACAGCCATCGAGTCGTTTCGACCCCACTGAACAGGTGTGTCCCTGTGGGATTCCGAGACTCTTCAGGAGCATCAAGAGTTATAGTGTACATCTGGTGCAAAAGTAGAGGAGGAGAGGAGGCAAACACTTACAGAAGTGGTTTCCGGGTCCAGGGTAGTGATGGCCTTTGTACGCAGCCATGAGTCCTGGGTTGATGCCAATCTGCAGAGCAAAAGATGTACACAATTCAGTCTTCCCAATGTCTACGGGGGAGGAGTGAACACAACTGAACTTATTTAAAAAAAAATAATTCAGCATCGTAATATTGTTTCATGAATTTACTACTCTTCATCTAAGGCAGTGGTTCTCAACCTTCCTAATGCCGCCACCCTTTCATATAGGTCCTTATGTGGTAGTGATCCCCCAATCATAAAATTAGTTTCGTTGCTACTTCCTAACTGTAATTTTGCTACTGTTATGAATTGGGCGACCCCTGTGAAAGGGTTGTTTGAACCCCAAAGGGGTCACGACCCACAGGTTGAGAACCACTGACCTAAGGAAATTACCCTACTTTGAGGAAAGCTATTTTTATAAAAGGCAGCTGGGCCCCTTCCCCATCGCCTCTTGCCCGCCTCCCCACCCAACCAGGCTGCCTCAAGTCAGCATGGAGACAGTGCTGGAACGATCAACACCTGCACCCAGGTGCAACCACATACAAGTCCAGCTCCCACTGACAGCAAGCAGCTTACGTCCCCTAAGCGTCCCAGTTGTTCACAAGCTGCTTCTGACAGTCCATGACAAAGGTCGGAGTTCACAGCAAGGGCTGGCCTTGATGGAGTCTCCACAGGCGTCATGCACGCACACTAAGTGGTTCCCCTGGATTACTATTTCACTGAATCTCTGGGAGCTGATGATGGGGTCCCATCAATGCCCATTTATTTCACCACCAAGGAAACTAATGTTTAGAAAAAGCATGGCTAGGCCACATTCAAACAACCACAAAGGCCCATCTCTGGAGCCCACCCTCTGACACATGTAACCTAACTTCAGGGCAGGGGTCTCATGAGTAAGGTGACCAGATGTCCCGCTTTTGGCGGGACAGTCCCGATTTTTAACAATTTTTCTCGCGTCCCGCAACATTTTTTAAAAGTCCCAATTTTTGGAAAGAATGCGCGACAAGCTAGGGTATACGGTTTTCGGCTGTCATGTTGACTGTTTCGCCAGGATATGTGTTTTATCAGTGGTGTCCGCTTTACCAATGCTAAAATCTGGTCCTCTTACCCAGGAGCCACAGAAAGATTTCCTCTCCTGGTAACCGGTGCCTTCCCGGTCCACCTGCTGCTATGCCAGACACCCGGTAGTCACTTCGGGACCCCTCGCCCTCCATGGACTGCACCGGGGTCCCGAGCCCTTCCCCCACGTCTGTCCTTCCTGAGTCCTGCCCATCCCCAGCGCCTCCAAACCCGCGCCTTGCCTACAAGCACGGCCTCTTAGAAATGCTTCCTTTTCAGCAGGATGCTACGTGCGAGCTCACTGTTAACCCAAGCCGATCCAGCACGGCATGGTTCCAGACATCCCAGGGGAACCCAAAACATACTTACAATCACAATATCCAGATTGAAGGTCAAGATGTCGGGGAGAGTCTTGGTCAGGAGCTCAGCTTCCGACACCCCATTGAAGCGGTCTACTTTCCTTTTGACTTTAAACGTATCGGTGATTTTCTCTTGTTTGTCTTTAGCCTTTGCGGACTTGCCGGATTTCTTGGGTGTGGCAGGCTTTTTGGGTTCGGCTGGCTTCTTGGGTTCTGTTGTTCTGGGTTTTCTCTTTCTTCCTTTTCGGGCTTCTGAAAAAGAGGGATTGTTCAGGATGTCGATTGGAGAAATCGGGTCAAAGGAAGTCACCTTATCAATGCTCACTCCCTCTCCCCACACAATGCTCTTCTAGTTTCAGCAACCTCCTCCCTGCGCTATCTCCTCCAACCTTCACTCCAGAATGGGTCCCTGGGGGGCGCAAATGGCTCAGCCTTCAAGTACTAGCTGCGTGGTGGGCAATTTGCACCCACCCACGGATGCCCAGCAAGACAGGTTTGGGGATGTGCTTTCAAAAGGTCACAGGCAGACAGTGGTCAGTGTGAGATTTGAAAATAATTTAGCAATCTACAATCTATCAGGGGACCACGAGGGTTGTAGGAGGGAGGGGAAAATAGAGGAGCTGATCCCAAGCACTCAATGTGTATGTCTAGAAAAGAAAGATGGAATATATGTATGAATATGTTGGATACAATTGATGTACGGTTTGTAACAAGAGTTGTGAGAGCCTCCAATAAAATGATTTAAAAAACCAAACCAAACCAAAGGTCACAGGCTTGAAAACCAGGTCACATCTTTGAAAACACCACGAAGCACTTAGTTCCCCACCACACACATGAGGATGAGGCTGCCCAGAGCCAGAATCGCTCCACGGCAAGCAGCCCCTCCCGTCCCTGCTCTGGCAAGAAATGCCCGTCACCATCGCTTGGTTTCTCGCTCCATCTTGCTCGGCATGCGGGTCTCCCACTTCACAGAAACTGAATTCATGTATATAAATTGGTCAAGAAATAAGCACGAGAATAAAAAGAAAACAGGACGGGTTGCCTTTCCAGCCTGGTTGCCTCCAACACCCACCAGCAGACTCTCAGCGGCCCACGGGGGACCGGGCGCTCTGGGCGGAGCTTCGACACCTTCCCTGCTCCCAGGCCCTCGCCACGAGGGGGCGCTGCGGGAGGTCACTACCGGTACATCCTGGCCTGCCAGCCGGCCTGCGCGCAGGGTCCTGTGACCCCGCGGAGGGCCCGACCCTGGCGGGAAACCGTGGCCTGAAGCTCGGGAACAAGGGCGTCTCCCGAAGAGCAGCCCTGGTGGCACGGCGGTGCAGCACTTGGGGTCCGAGCCCCCCACTGGG